AGAAATATCAATGTGAGAGAAACACATCGATTGGTTGCCTCCTGCACGAGCCCTAACCAGGACCCAGGTTGGGGAGGAGCCTGCGACCAAGGTATGTTCCCTTGACCTGAATCAAACCCAGGACCCTTTGGTCCACAGGCCAACACTCTATCCACTGACCCAAATCGGCTAGGGCTGTCAGGACTTGTTAAAGCCTCCTATGAACATCTCACTCCCCATACTGCCCTTTAATTTTTAATTTTTTTTTTTTACCAGTCTGTTTGTCTCAACAGGTATTAGCAACTCAGGCAGTTGTGCTATTTAAACAATTGCTACTTTTTTTTTTTTTTCCAACAAACCACCTGGAGCTAGGGCTTTCCTCATTGAGTCTGTTAAATAAAGATAAGCCCTACAACTGGAACTTCCTAGGGAGCTGCCAAACGAATCCAACAGTGACAATTCTCTGGGGATGGGACTCCAACACCAAACCTATTTGGGGAACTTCTAAACTATTTCAGTGGTTGGTTTTCTCAGCTGTGGTGGTTCAAGGTTGCTGGTTTTCAAGGCTACCACAGAGCTGAGAGGTAGGATGAGGACAAGTTAAAACACCACAAAACTTATTATATTACAGAGATTCAACCATTTTTATTTAATACATGTTTGTCATGTATCCTAATTAATCCTTTGGTTAATTTCTGGAGCTTGAAAAAGTTGATTTTGACAAATTCTGCCAATGTTCTCCTTGCTTCCATGGAGGATCAGATCTTTGGAGATCTTTACTCCGCCATTCTTGAAATGTTTCTCCAGAATTTCTCTTAGTAGAAAGTGGGATACAATGGATTTCTCTTAAATTAGTGCAAGCAGCACATACTGAATTCACTTAGAACATCAGACATTCCACCTATGATATATACCACCCAAACAAGAATTGTCTGACTTCTCAAATTTCATAGAATGCCAGCACTAGTTTCCAAAGTCTATGGCACCCACCTGAGTAAGAACTCAGAATATTGAACACCTGAGTACAAGCTCAAATTTGCTTTTCAGCTCCATCTGAGCAAGGAAGTCTAAGGGACAGACTGTCCAGCTGTAACTGAAGACCAGTGTTTTTCACACCTTCAGACCCACAGCAAATTTTTTAAAAAAATATATTTTATTGATTTTTTTTTTACAGAGAGGAAGGGAGAAGGATAGTTAGAAACATTGATGAGAAACATCAATCAGCTGCCTCCTGCATACCCACTATGGGTATTGAGCCCGCAACCAAGGTACATGTCCTTGACCGGAATAGAACCTGGGACCCTTCAGTCCACAGGCCGATGCTCTATCCACTGAGCCAAACCAGTTAGGGCTCACAGCAAATTTTTATTACAAATATTTTTAAATACCCTTTCTATTATTCTAAAAAACATATAGATGGATAGACAATATAACTTATCTCAGGCATTTTTAAAATCAATGTCTAATATAAAGGAGAAATAAAAGGAAGCAACTTATGGAAATATGTAGTTCAATATGAAAGGAAATGGCCACAACTACTGAAGACACAATAACATAGTCAGGTGCCTAATTTATGAGCACATCATTAGCAGGAGTGTGGCCCTACAAATCGGACAAGGAAGCTGCAGCAGGTCTGACTTGCAATACAAATACCATGAGCAATGCTGCCACTGGTGAGTTTTAAAAATGAGGGAAAACTCTTGGTCAACTGCTGACCAGGGTATAACCTCTTCCACTTGATAGTTGCTTTTGATGTCAAATATTGTAAATCTGCAACTAAGAGTTTTTATATGTACAATAGGACAGATAGTCTAGGCTCAGATAATTGTCAATGCTCACCAGCTAGAGACCATGGGGAACAGACCTGTGGTTGAGCAGTTGGGCTTATTAGAACCTTTTGCACAAGAGAGACCGCATCAAGGGTGTCTCATGGAGGGTGCTAAGAAGGGCTTATTACAGGATGTGGGCCTATAGGTGGGCCTCTGTGACTTCATGAAGGGCTGGCTCCATGGATCATAGTTGGATTGGGTGCTTTCAGAAAGTAAAGCAAGCCTGAGTGGTATCCTAATAATTTTCATCTAGAAAGTAGGAAGAACAGTGGTCTGAAGCTGTCTTTAGTAGAGCAGCAGGCACTCATGTAAGCCAGGGGAGAGGGTGTTAGGTCTTCTTTGAGGTCTGCACAGCACTTCTATGCTCCCTCATGATCACAAAGTCCTTATTTTGTCTTGCATCCTCATGGTCAGAATGGCTCTGTCAGATGTTGATGGTGTATACAATTATGTTCAACAGACCACCACAGCCTGGCTGTCAGAACAGGTCAGCTTCCAGGGGTTGCTTTTTCTTTCCCTTTATAAGCAGGATTTTATGGACATAACTATTCATGAGATATGGAAGTTATTAGACATACATGACAATTTTTGGTCCTGTCCTCCTCTTGGCCTGGCATCCTAGGCTCCACCCACGGAAATAACCAATCATCGTGTTAATCAACCCTTCTCTCTCCACACTACAAAACACTCTCCCTTGTGGGTGGCACCATCTCCATGAGAACCACTGCTCTGAATATTCTAAATCCAACCCCCTAATCATATTAGAGTAAGGATACATACTTAAGAGTACACCAGCCTATACCCTCACTGAACTATCTTGATTTAATGGCTTTGCATAAAAAGTTGCCTTTAAAAGGCCATCTAGACCAAAGGCTTTATATCTACTGTAGAAAGGATGCCAAGAGCATTGGCCACCACAGGGGCTGGTGTCTCCTACAGAAAGCCCCACATGAGAAGTATGTGGAAGGCACTGCTAGATGCCTACCCAATGTCCCTTTTCCCTACTAACAAAATCTTTTATTCAAGGCAGCAATGTGCCTTCCTTAACAACCTGTTTTCCCAGACTTTCTTACCGGGTGACACCATTCTGGCTAATGAGATGTAAGTAGAAGCAAAAGTCTATTTTTATTTCTTCAGCTGTGACAGTCATGACTCTGAGGCAGTGCGCACAGGGACAAAACCCAGCTTTCTAAGGAACTGTTTAGTGACTACATCAACACCAGCAATCACCTACTTTCAGACTTCCTTTGTTGAAATCCATTATTTGTAGGATTTTCTGTTACGTGGAGTTGAACAAATTACTAACAGAGGAAATTAATAGTTATAACAGGTCATTGAGGAAATTAAAAAATGGAGGTTTATGCTAAGCCTATAATATTATAATCAATTGGACAAAGAACAGTGCTCAAATTATATATGGGGAGGGGAGGTTGAGTTAAATATTCATTTTTCACAGAAGGAAGTCAACAGCTAATCATAAGTCACTAAGTCAAGAAACAATATAAGCACTAAGCATATTATTTAGAGGTACAGAGGTAAATATCCCAAAACATAAAACCAAGCAGTTGAAAATGTTTGCTCCTGGGGAACAAAATTGAGAATGGGCTAAGACTTGCATTTATCTGTTGCCCTTCTGTACTATTTTATTTTCTGACCATGGGTTCTTTCCTTCTTTAATTAGTTGTAGTGGGAAAAAGTTACATGTGAGATTACGTTTTCCTTGCCACTAAATTATAACTTCCTCAGGAAATGATAGGCTTCTTCCTTTCTTATTTAGAACATACAGGTTTGAAGGAGTGTTTTCTGATTTTCATAAGAACTTGGTATTCTTCTGATTTTATTTGTAATTAAAAAGTATATTTAACATATGATTTGAGACTATATTCTTCAAAACCAAGAATGGACTGGTTTCACTTTTCCTAGTAGTGGTTTGCAAACAGCGGCTCAGGAGGCTCCTTGGAAATCGGTAGGTAGGGCTGAGAGGGTGACGCCAGAGCCTCCAATTCTCTTTCCACTAGAGCAGCTCTGCTTTATTTATTATAAATATTAAGCTTTGCCACAAGACTTGGAAGAAAGAATTGTACTAGTATGAAAAATCACTGCACTATGGGCAAAAGTTAGCACAGCTGAACAGGTACTTACTGAATTATTCTATCCCAAATACTATACTAATGCAAACAATTAGGGGGGATGCTGAAACTACAATTTATTGAAGAATTCAGTTAGACTCTAGCAATAGAAAAGCCAAAACAATAACACTCAAACAAGATAGAAGTTTGTTTCTTATTTAAAAACTAGAGGTCTGATGCACAATATTCGTGCAAGAGTAGGCCTTCCTTCCCCTGGCTGCCGGCACCAGCTTCCCTCTGGAACCCAGGACCCAGGCTTCCCTCGCAGCCCCAATCTTCATTCGGAAGGACTTCTGGTCTAATTAGCATATTACGCTTTTATTATTATAGAAGATTCAATAGGCAGTTCAGGGTTGCCATTCCTATTAGAGGGAGCTCAATACCCGCCTTATTTATCTGCTATTCACAAGCTCCACCTATGTGGTCCACATTTCAGCTAGCAGGAAAGAGAAAAGGGGAGGGGACAGGCATGCACCTCTTTTAGGAATACTTCCTGGAAATGTGCATGTGGCCAGAACTCAGTCACATGGCCACATAAGATGCAGCAAGCAAATCTGGAACAAGCTGTCTCTGTTGCCATGTTCCAGCTAATAAGTAAGAAACATGTAGAAGGGAAAATGGATATTAGGAATAAGTGGTAAACTCTGCCACATGCATATCCCAAAAATCAATTCATATTTGGTTTGAGGGACTGCAAGATCAAGTAACAACATAGTTATATCAAAACCTGTATCCATGTATCCCCTGTCAGACTCTCAACTTTAAAGATTTAGATCTTTCAAATTAAATAATAACATGTCTGCATGCAGCGCTGACTTTCCTCACCAGATAAGCACAAGTAAAATGGCAAACAGGCATTTAATAAATGAATGACTTAATAACTTAATGTTTCTTAAGAAAGGAAAAGACATTAGAGGCAGATATTTCCTCTAAACACAGTACTGTATCCTGAAGAGACTTCCTGTAGCCTGTTTCCTTGGACAAGTCACTCGGTAACCTGACGTTCCAGGCATCACATGAAACGGGTATGTCATGAGGATCAAATGAGATTACACATGTCAAGGGCTTTGTAAACATTAGAGTTTTATACCAATATAAAGTTATGCACTTTCAAAGCTATCACTCCAATAGACACTTATTCAATTAAGCAAAACTCTTTAAAAAATTTTAACAATGTATAAATACATTGACAAAATAGTCTGTTGATTAAGACTCCAACAAAGGTTACGTACAGTATACCTATAAGAGAATTTACATGTGTCCGTAACAGTTCCTAAACTGTGACACATATTGCTTTTTAAGAAATACCATTAACACAAATGCATGATTTCTAATATCCCCGTTAAAGCAAAAAAAAAATTCATAAAATAAAATGTCTTTTAGGCATTTATTATGCCAAGTATTTAAATAATTATTCTTATTATGACATAAGAATAATGCTCTCTTCATGGTAAAAGGTTTCGTTAGGCCAAGGACCACTGACGCTTTTTAGGAGGTTCCAAAGCAAAAGCTGGTTGTCCTCTCCAAAAATAAATAGAACACAGCAATCTCTAAGTATCCCTTACACAGACACCATGAAAACTCATTTATATTAACGGACCGAAAATACATGACTTGTTACAATAAAAATAAACAAAATTTTAGAAACTAGCTCATGTCACTGATCCAAATTTGGTTTTTATCTGCCTGTGAATGCCTAAGAGTTTCATTATGAAGTTCATAGTAAACCATAAAATTAACAATTATTTCTAACTTACACATAGCCAAAGTGCTCATCTTCCCATGGAAGCAAAACTTTCTTCTGAAAATAATCTACAGAAATATTTAAATACACATAATTTTGAAATGAGATTAAGAACAACCTTCTACATTCTATGGATCAAAATGCAAAAGTCTTCATTACATATATACATGAACATAAACACTTTTGTCAAACTGCAGTACATGGATATTACATGACTGTGCACACACATATGTACACCATGATCCAAATTTTGACAATGTTTCTAGCAACACCATATTTTCAGCCCCAAATGCAAGAAAATGAAAACTACTTTTCCTTTTTTCTTAAAGTAAATTTTCAAATGGAAAAACAAACCCAACACTCCTCTCTGCTACAGGTACTGAGTTCTAAAAGGCTCAGAGTGAAGAATCTCTTCAGTTGTTCCCAATATAACAGAACACACGGGACTCCTCTTCAGGAAGTCTGATCATCTCCGGCATTCTGCAAAAGAGTAAGAACTCCTGAATAAAAAAAGCTATTTTACTTAATACAGACTTCAAAGAACTAGAGAAATACTCCGTATTTGTAAGCAGAGCTAGCTACATTAACTTACATTCAATGGCCCCAATCACATTAAATATTACAAACATGCTGGAGAAGCAAATCATTGGATCCACCCCAACGTCCAGCAGGTCAGTGTCATTTTAGCAGAGTATCGCCAGGTGCCAGGTAAGTCCATTAATCCTACCTAACATTCACTTTCACTGTATTCAACATCCACCTCCATTTCAGAAACACTGAAAAGCCTAAGGAAAAACACCTCCTAAGCACACACCTGACAATTACCATAGATGGACCACAGCAAAGATGTTTTGGCAGCCTGCAAAAACCCTCAGGAGGAGAATCATGTCTCTCCAAAAATATTAGTTTTCTCTACTTCTCATCTTTTATACAACAGAAACCACAGCAGAATGAAAAGAACAATGAATTTCAGAGAGGAGAGTTTAATAAACCCTAGTTTTGTACCATTTATAAGCTGTATAATCTTGAGTAGGGCTTCAGTTATCTAAATACAATCGTCCGACCCACTGGGAACTTGTTAGACATGCAAATTGAGACCCCACCCAGATCAAATGAATATGGAACTCTGAGGGTGGGACCCCCCACCCATGTTTCAGCCCTCTAGGTGATCCTCATACCTGTTCAAGTTTGAGAATCACTGTTTAATACAATATTACTTGACAACCTACTGCCTGGAAACAAAAACCTAATCATTTTTCCCAAGAAATTTAACAATCTACGTATGATTACTACTTATCCCATTGAAAACCCTGATTTAAATATTCATATTGGGGAATTGTAGTAAAACCATTATGTTCTAAAAAAAAAAAAATCTCGGTACTTTAAAACAATCTTTAAATATACAGTCTTATTTTGTTTCTAATCGTCCTTTCTATATAAAACCTAAAACCTTACAATATCATTCTTCAAAACTGTTAGAGCCCCCAGAATTAATGAAAAGTAACTGATTTTTTTTTTTAGTAAGCTATTATCAATGACAGTTTCTCTCTCTGGTTTTAAAATAATTTTAGGACACTGATAATACTCTGGGATGTCTTAAAAGCCTCCAAAAATTAATTAAAATAACTATCATCAACTCATACCTAAATAAATATGTGCCTTAAAAAACTTTAAGTATTTCATAAAAACTAAACTACAAGAGTTAGAAATTACTGCATTGGTCACTTGACACATCAAATTTAGCCTCACAGCCAGAAAAACTTACTTGTCTTAAAAACTGCTTTCCAAGGTAAGATGTGGCCATGCTGGTTAAATTCTTTCTGCTGCCCACTTTGCACCTGATGTAGCCATATAGGTTGGCACCTTGCAGCACCACACCCATGGTAACCACAGCCTAGGAGAGAAAAATAAGCAATGATTACTGACCAACACCATGAATGAGACCCAACAGTGTCCTGGGGAGAAGGAAAAGGAAGCTCTATGATGGGGAGCTGTGCCAATAAGACTCCTTCACCTGCCAGAATAGATCTATGCAACATGTACTCTGCAAAAGGCTCCCCATCACCTGCCTAACAAACATTTATTAACACATTAAGCGCACAGCCTGTTTTGTCTTCTGGATGGAAAGTATAGTGTCAGTCACCGGTGAATAACATGGGCTTAATGTGTTAAATACACATGCTACAGTGGGCACCATGTCGCCCCTGGGAATGAATCCAGTGGGGAACTGTGGTAGGCAGTTAGACAGACACGAGCAGGGCAAGGATGAGGGGCGAGGTACAGAAGGTCATCAGGGTAGAAAGCCCTAAGTGCTAGCAAGGGACGACTGTAGGGTGGGACCTCATCCCAGGGCAGCCTTTCCTCCCCTGGCATATCGCTGGTCATGTGGTTTGGACTTCCTGACCTTTTTTCCTCCCCTAGAGATAACATCTAGGCCTCAGCTGTATTTCAGCTCCAGGCCCAGAAAAGCAGCAAAACCGGACAATGACCATGGCTGCCTCAGAACCAGCTGCCTTGACTAGTGACCCCTACCCTGGTGTCGACCAACCAATCAGGGGAGACCTAGACCCTGAAAGGATTCATCAGGAAAGTTGCTGAATATTCTATTAAAATCTCCCCTGGGCCCTAGCTGGTGGCTCAGTGGGTAGAGCGTCAGCCTGTGGACTGAAGGGTCACAGGTTTGATTCTGGTCAAAGGCACATGCCCAGGTTGCAAGCTGGATCCCCAGTCTGGGATGTGCAGGAAGCAGCTTATCAGTGATTCTCTCTCATCACTGATGTTTCTCTCTCTCTCTCTCTCTCCCTTCCTTTCTGAAATTAAAAATTTAAAAAAGAAAAAAAAGGTTTCCCCTGGGACCTTGTCCCTGACACCCTTAGGACAGAGAACCCAGCATGGGAGCCATTACCTTCCTCACTCCCAAGGCTCTTCCTTTACCTCTATAACTTCTTTCCTAAGCCCACTTTTTCTACAAATTACTTCTTCTACCTCGGTGATTTTATAAATAAATGCTCTCTTACAGTCTGAGTCTTGGCTCAGAATTCTTTCCTGGCCAGAACTCCAGTACTGAGGGTGCTGAACCCAGGTCTGGTTTGGCCCCATGGGTCTAACACCCATGGCTGTCCCCAGCCAACTACCACAGGGACCACTATTTTCCAGAGATGTAAAAAGAGGAAATGAGAATCAGAAGGGGCTCAAATGTTAATTATTCCTTTAAGAATTAATTACAAACAAATGGTCAAGAAATAAAGCGCAACAGAGGGAGCACACACAGATGAACCCTGCTCTATGCTGATGTGTGTGTCTCAGGTGGCCTCCCGGACAGCAAACAGAGCCTCAGTCAGTAGGTGTTTATCCTCTGTGAGGGGGCAGTGCATGGGCGAGGGTGGAGCTCGGAGGAAATGCACTTTGGTAGAGGTATTTCTTCCTGTGGCCGCATCAGGGTGACCCCATTAAGATCATTAAGGATTAAGGTAAAGAAAGGCAAGCCTACTCTTAAATATTGAGGAAATGAAGTTAATTAGGACAATGTAAAGGGATCACATGGTTGAATATTCCAGTGCAATGGCAAGGTTTTCCTGTGAAGGGCCCAACAATAAACATTTCGGGCTCAGTGGGCCACACAGTCTGCTGCAACACTCCACTCCACCCATCTAGCCCCAAAGCAGCCACGGACTCTCTGTAAACAAACAGGCAAGGCTGTATGCCAATAAAAATGTACAAACATGGATGTTGGGCTGAATCTGGCCTGCAGACCAGTTTGCCAATCTGTTCTTGAAAAAACAACTCATCAACCCATCTGCTACTAAAAGGATCACTTGAGAAACTCATATCATTAAAAAGCAAGACCGCTAAACACAATACCTTTTTCCAACCCAGACTTACTCTCCTTAACAAGGTGATTTTTAGCAAGTGAGAAGATTTATATGTTTGTTTTAATTAAGGAACAGATTCAAATACTTAGTAAAGGAAGTAGAGTTGTACTTTTATTTTAAATGTATGTTTCATAGAAATAAACACTTAAGGTTGCCAGTTCCCTAAATGAACATAAAACTATGTTTTAAATAAATTTCCTTCCACTTCCCATGCTTTTCAAACTGGGACAAGGATGCACCTCCGGGGTAAGGACGCACCAACCAGCCAGGGCACCTGAATCAGACTCAGCAGGGTACTTGAGGCATCGTGTCAGTCAATGGCAACATACTGTAAAAGGCATGCATAAAACAAGCAGTCTATACAACGGTGCAGTGAAGCCAGGTATCAAGGTCTCCCTCCCCCTGAGATATAAATAGCAAAGTTTTTTTGTGTTTTTTTTTTTAAGGCAAATAAGTTAGTACCAATAAGTATAAAAAAGGGCTGGTGTAAGAAAAAGAGCCATCTCGGTGTCTCTTTACAGCTCCTAACTCTCCAAAAAAATCTCTAAGGAAAATGTCACTAATGATCACCACTCCTTCACAACTTAGAGAGGCAGAAGGCCAGGGGATACAGATAACCCTAAGAGAAAACGCAGAAACCTCTCCCAATCAACAGAGATGCATCGGAGGCAGGAAAATCCCAGCAGCCTGCCATGGCAATGCTTCCTGGCGGGGGAGGAGGAGAGGAAGCATAGAAGGACCACCAGTCAGCAAGCCAATGACTTCAAGAGAACAGAGGGTGGGGAGAGACTCATGAAGAGCCTGGTGATGCCACTGTCCCCGCCATGGTCTTAACATAGGAGTCCAAACCACCTTTTTTCACACAACCTTCGCTTGCTCTTTTAGGGAAGTGGAAACACTGCTAAAGAAAGACTAGGCTGACTCTCCCAGATGGATGCTAAGGCTGCAAAATGACCCAAAGCAGACGGATAGAGCCAATAGAGCACACACCCAACTAGGAAACAAGAACTCCACTACATAAGGAAGGCAACACCTGAGCAAGCCAGCCAAGGCAGCCAGAGACCCATGTCCTCCTCCTCCTCCTCCTCACACCTGCCTCAACTACCCATGTCCAGCTCACAGCAGAGCCCAAGTGTCTCAGACAGCACAGGGAGCAGTCGAAGGGAATCACCCACACCAATCCAGCATGCGGTCCGCACAGAGCTGCCATTGTAAGGAGCAAATGGAGAGGGAAAAGGGAAAGGCACCTATGCAAGACTACACCAAAAAAATAAAAATAAGGACATAGTATGCAAAAGATAGGTGAGGAATCTATTCAAATATAGTCCACCAAAATAAAAAGCATTCCTAGGAATGCTTCACCCAACAGAAGAACCTAAATATATATAAAAATTCAAAGTGAATGAAGGTAAGACAACACAACACAAGGTGAAAATGAAGCTGGCAGAGCTAAGGAATACAGAGAGAAGCCTCTGCTGACCCCCAATCAGAAGTAACCCAGTTCTTTCTCTTGCACTCTCCACTCTCACTGGTGTCACTGCCTTTCTAATACTGTCTGCTCTCTGACTGTCTGATGCGCTGCCGGTCCACAGGTCCACAGCACACTCCACCAGAACATAAGCTCTATCAGAGCGATACCTTGTTTATCTGGTCCTAACAATACCCGCAGTGCCTGGGACAGGTCTGGCATACAGCAGGCTCTTAAAATATTTGCTACATGAATAAACAGAAGAGAACTGAGAGATCAAAGCAATTAAAGATGCTAGATGAGAAAGATAAAAACAATACAACAGAGATAACAAATATCTCAGAATCAGAGAAATCAAAAAATAGAACATAAATTTAAAGACTTAACAGAAGACAATTTTCCAGATTCGAAGGAAAACCTACACCTACATATACGAGGGGCAGTTTCCAGAAAAATCAAACAAAAAGATAAACACAAAGACATTCCAGTTATAATATTTTAAAACTTCAAAAATAATTTAATTTTGTCCAGGGAGAAAAATGATTCACTCACTTCCATGGAGATTATGTAAGCCTCAGATTCCTCTGCAAAATTCAATATAAGAAAGAAATGTTTTCTAAATGGTGCAAGAAACTGTGACCTGAGGGCATTATCCTAGCCAAATAGGCATCCTATCTAATAGTAGACAAACATGGTAATTAACCATACCTCCGCTACGCTTCCCATTGGCTAATCAGCAGGATATGCAAATTAATGGCCAAACAAGATGGCAGCTGGCAGCCACACAGCTGAAGTGAATAGGAGGCTTGCTTGCTCCAGTGATGGAGGAAGCCAAGGTTCCCCGCCTGCCCCGGCCCAGCTCTGAGCTCCGGATGAAACAATGTTGCAATCATAGAAGCTAAACAAACCCCAGGTACCTGCTTTCAGCCAGCTGGACCCTCAGAGACTAGAGCCACAACAAAGTTTCAATTCCAGGAGGTAAATAAATCCCAGAAGAAAAAAGAAAAAAAGGAAAGACTGGTAGTTGGGAGCTTCAGGAACCCGCCAGCCTGAAAACGGCCCTCAGCCCCTCACCCAGACTGGCCAGGCACCCCAGTGGGAACTCCCCTACA